TCACAAGTTAACACCATTTTGCTAATAATTTAACAGAGATCTTTAATTATCCCTTGTTGAAGGTTCACTGGAATATCTAGAATTTCTTTTGTTAAAGTTAAATCATTTTCAATACTCGAGTTACTTATTTACTTAAGTATTTTCATGCCAAATTTCGTGAAATTCTAATGAGTAGTTCTCGAGAAATAGGCGTATTTCCAAGAGTGCAATTTTCATTCAATCGCAATTTTTTGACTTACTACGAATGCGCTGCATATAACTGGGTTCTTTCAGTAAGAAAGAAAAAGCTGAGAATTGCTGGGTTCTTGGCATTGTTACCTTTCCTAACATATCTTTGTAATAAAAGACTAAAGCCATCAATACGCCGTGTTCAATTATAGAGAAAAATAGCAGATACTGCGGGTGTGGAGTAACTAAAATAATCGCTCTATTGACGGCATGTTTTTTGCAATCGTTGTGCACGTGCTGAATTGCATCAGCAAAAGCACGCGCGAAAACTGTGTTCGGCCACCCTAAATCGCTCTACCTCATGTACTTGTCATTGCTTATGGAAATACGGTATTTCAGAGTTATCGATCGTTCATGAGAATGCTATTTGTCTCTTTCAAGGTCTTTTAATAATGACCAATATTGATGTGACCGTTTTACAACGAATTCAGAGGTAACCTGTTTTCAGCAGACACCCTGGATCAAGCGGACACCCTGTATTAAGTGGACACTAGCAAGGGTCCCGTGGGTGTCCGCCTAATACCACCTAATGCAGGTTTGACTGTAATAACGTTTTAAAGAACGTTTAAAAAGTCATGAACTTGTGGCGTCTGTAGTCACAGAGGCTCGCAGATACTCTTTGACCCTAGTGAGACAGGGCTAATGGACTTTTTGAGGTCCTCTTTGACCAATGGGGGATCAGCAAGAAGGGGGAGGGGCTTTTGGGGCTAACACTCCATAACTCTTGGAGTATTTAAGTCATTACTGACCATAAATCTTGTACGTTTTATAACACATCCTAAACATTTTTCTGCGAGGTCCTTGTCATGGAATGGATCTGCCATCTTGGATTTCACAACATTTTACAAAATGCTAGAAAATTGCAAAAATTTGCTCGCAATATTTTCTTTTTTTTAATAGTCTATATTTTTCTATATCTTTCAGTTGAACAGCAGTCTTAATTATAATATATATAAAAGCAAAACAGGACAACACGCTTTTTCATTTAATAAAAAAAAAATTCAATTTTACAAATTGGAGTTATGACTTCATCCAAATTTGGCAGCCTTCAGAATGTTGATCATCCAGTTATTTCCAACGTAGTCCTCAAACATTACTTAAACTCCCAGCCTCCTTAAGATATAAATTTATTATCTTTTGCAGGGCCTACGAAGAGGAATTCTGGTCAACCAACACAAGAAACCGCGATCTTCAATGAGAGGATGATTTACATCGTATCTGGTATCACGTTCATTCTGTTGTTGGTGCTATGTTTTATTCTTGGTTTCTGGTGCTACAGACGGTCTCATCACACACGAATCAAAAGGTTATACACTATTATTGGTAGTACTTACGATGAAACATAGTAAATAAATTGGTTATTGCAAAACTGGGACAATCAACAGGAGAGATTCTGAATGTTTTACCATTTTACAGCTAAAAGCTCTATGTATAAGTTAGTTACACCCGGTTCCATTCTCAGCAGGCACACTGTTTTGACACGCAGTGGAGACCTTGCCTCTTTGTTTGCCTAAATTTATTCACCTAAATAGCAAAGAAAACCTTACTATTATAAATTGACCCTACATATAACATATCCGTACGACAGGACGAACATAGTTTAACCTTGAAATGTGATGTTCAGACAAGAAAGCGGATGTGAAATGGTTTGGTAAAATGATGGGAGAGGCACTGATCCCCTGGTTAGTTAGGGAGCAGTGGGAGAAATAGAGAGAGAAAAAATGAGAGGAGTGTGGTACGGGAAAGCCAGAGAACAATCTTTTTCTCCTCGCACCAGGCCCCTCTCTACTTCTTTTGCTCGCCATTTTTTCGTGCTGCACCTCAACGAACTTTGCGCGTTGGACTCGGAATCTGCTAGCGGTCCAGGTTGGTGCTTTGGCTGGGGTTTCTGTTTTGTGTTCCTGAGTAAGAAATATAATTGGGAATCTCCCAAGCTCGGGGTATTATAAAATGGATGATGCCAAAGTGCCAGGTCAACCTGAGGAAACGTGCAAAGGTAGCCTGCAATGGACTAGCATGTCATGTAGAGGAAATAACAATACCTCTCGATCGGAAGCCGGGACAGCTTCAATGGTATATGCCTAATTGCAGTCTTTACTATTAGAAAACGTGGTATCGAATTTGGAACTTACAGGCAGAATGGCTGGGTTTCATCACGAAGCTCTAAGACATTAATCTTTTAAACAGCAAGATTTCACTAAAATAATAGCATACTGCGCTATACTACTTGATAACGACTCTTTTTGTGCTTAAACTATTTTCACATCGTTCCACAGATCAGCTCGTTCAGCTCGCAAAATTATCCCACTAGACAAGTGGGAACTTCTTCCCGAGCAAATAGAATATCAGGAAGAGCTGGGCCGAGGAGCGTTTGGTGTGGTTTACAAAGCAACTCTAAAGAGACGAGTTGGAATAGAAGTGTTTGAGACTGGAAAGACACTGAAGCCCGAG